AATGAGTTTCTTCTAGCCTTTCCTTACTCATCCCCCTGTCAAACTTTACATTGGGAACTGGCCAATATCCTGACTGGCACAGGGCCCATCTGGAGAGGACTCTAGAGACCCTCTCTACCTACTGTCCCTCCTTCCCCATACCCGAGGTGCACTTTCCCAGGACACAGAAGCCAAGAAGGACATCAGATGCACAGTTGGCTACTGAGGGGTACCTGCTGAAAGACCCTCTGGGCAACACATCTGCCCCCCAGGAGGGGGAAGCAGAAGGAGGGAGGAGGTAAGACAGAATAAATAACCTTGATCAGGGAGGCCCAAAGAAGGGGGTGGAGACAGAGAATGCTGAACTTCAGCACAGTCTGCCAGACATCTTTGGGAAGAGGACTGGAGAAAAAGACACATATTACTTCCAGGCCATTGTGGTGAGTGCAGGAGACCAGGGGGTATGCAGAGATGTGCGGGTTTCTTGTAGGTAGGGAATTCCCATTAGACCTGCCAAATCTAAGGGAGGAGAAACCAGGCTATGATGAACCAGAAGTATAGGGGTGGAGCCGGGGAACATGAAGGAGGCTCCTGACTCAAAGGACAGTGTTAGCAGTTTCTGTGTGGGATGAAGGGAAGTGTGGACAGTGGTAGATGTTGCCTATGGGTAGTTTTGAAGCAATTTTTAGTGATCAGTTTCCTGGGTGTGCCCATCTAGGGCTTGACAGGAGTTGGTCTAAATGAAGGTGAAGGGACAGAAAACAGACTGGGTTGGGGTTGGGTTAGAGTTAGATTGGTGTTTGTGTGTTAACAGGACAGTCCCAGGTGTTAGTGTGGGTGAAGCTCAGTTTGTGACTGGGGGTTTAGGCCTTATTCTGTCATCTGTATTGGGAGTCAGACTGTGGCTGATATTGGGACTTAGCCGTCCTCCTGGAGCTCTGGTCCTGACTCTATCTATGCCTGGGGTCAGGATCCAGTCTTCATCCCATATAAAAAGTGCATTATTGCCACACTGTGACTTCCTCTGCCATGCACTCTGTTCCCCAGCTCCACTAAACCACTCGTAGCTTTCCAAACAAGGTATATTCTCTCTCTCTAGGTCTTCAAATTTGCCAGTGTGCACTTTTTTTTTTAATCATTTTTTAAATTTATTTTCAGCATAACAGTATTCATTGTTTTTGTACCACACCCAGTGCTCCATGAAATCTGTGCCCTCTACAATACCCACCACCTGGTTCCCCCAACCTCCCACCCCCCCCACCTCTTCAAACCCTTCAGATTGTTTTTCAGAGTCCATAGTCTCTCATTGTTCACCTCCCCTTCCAATTTCCCCCAACTCCCTTCTCCTAACTCCCCATGTCCTCCATGCTATTTGTTATGCTCCACAAATAAGTGAAACCATATGATAATTGACTCTCTCTGCTTCACTTATTTCACTCAGCATAATCTCCTCCAGTCCCGTCCATGTTGCTACAAAAGTTGGGTATTCATCCTTTCTGATGGAGGCATAATACTCCATAGTGTATATGGACCACATCTTCCTTATCCATTCGTCCGTTGAAGGGCATCTTGGTTCTTTCCACAGGTTGGCGACCGTGGCCATTGCTGCTATAAACATTGGGGTACAGATGGCCCTTCTTTTCACTCCATCTGTATCTTTGGGGTAAATACCCAGTAGTGCAATGGCAGGGTCATAGGGAAGTTCTATTTTTAATTTCTCGAGGAATCTCCATACTCTTCTCCAAAGAGGCTGCACCAACTTGCATTCCCACCAACAGTGGAAGAGGGTTCCCCTTTCTCCACATCCCCTCCAACACATGTTTCCTGTCTTGCTAATTTTGGCCATTCTAACTGGTGTAAGGTGATATCTATACTTTTAATGCCATTCCAATCAAAATTCCACCAGTATTCTTCAAAGAGCTGGAGCAAATAATCCAAAAATTTGTATGGAACCAAAAGAGACCCCGAATCACTAGGGAAATGTTGAAAAACAAAAATAAAACTGGGGACATCACGTTACCTGCTTTCAAGCTTTACTACAAAGCTGTGATCACCAAGACAGCATGGTACTGGCATAAAAACAGACACATAGATCAATGGAACAGAATAGAGAGCCCAGAAATAGACCCTCAACTCTATGGTCAACTAATCTTCGACAAAGCAGGAAAGAATGTCCAATGGAAAAAAGACAGCCTCTTCAACAAATGGTGTTGGGAAAATTGGACAGCCACATGCAGAAAAATGAAATTGGATCATTTCCTTACACCACACACGAAAATAGACTCAAAATGGATGAAGGATCTCAATGTGAGAAAGGAATCCATCCAAATCCTTGAGGAGAACACAGGCAGCAACCTCTTCGACCTCAGCCACAGCAACATCTTCCTAGGAACATCGCCAAAGGCAAGGGAAGCAAGGGCAAAAATGAACTATTGGGATTTCATCAAGATCAAAAGCTTTTGCACAGCAAAGGAAACAGTCAACAAAACCAAAAGACAACTGACAGAATGGGAGAAGATATTTGCAAATGACATATCGGATAAAGGGCTAGTGTCCAAAATCTATAAAGAACTTAGCAAACTCAACACCCAAAGAACAAATAATCCAATCAAGAAATGGGCAGAGGACATGAACAGACATTTCTGCAAAGAAGACATCCAGATGGCCAACAGACACATGAAAAAGTGCTCCACATCACTCGGCATCAGGGAAATACAAATCAAAACCACAATGAGATACCGCCTCACACCAGTCAGAATGGCTAAAATTAACAAGTCAGGAAATGACAGATGCTGGCGAGGATGCGGAGAAAGGGGAACCCTCCTACACTGTTGGTGGGAATGCAAGCTGGTGCAACCACTCTGGAAAACAGCATGGAGGTTCCTCAAAATGTTGAAAATAGAACTACCCTATGACCCAGCAATTGCACTGCTGGGTATTTACCCTAAAGATACGAACGTAGTGATCCGAAGGGGCACGTGCACCCGAATGTTTATAGCAGCAATGTCTACAATAGCCAAACTATGGAAAGAACCTAGATGTCCATCAACAGACGAATGGATAAAGAAGATGTGGTATATATACACAATGGAATACGATGCAGCCATCAAAAGAAATGAAATCTTGCCATTTGCGACGACGTGGATGGAACTAGAGGGTATCATGCTTAGCGAAATAAGTCAATCAGAGAAAGACAACTATCATATGATCTCCCTGATATGAGGGAGAGGAGATGCAACATGGGGCTTTAAGGGGGTAGGAGAAGAGTAAATGAAACAAGATGGGATTGGGAGGGAGACAAACCATAAGTGACTCTTAATCTCACAAAACAAACTGAGGGTTAATAGGGGGAGGGGGGTTGGGGGGGTGGGATTATAGACATTGGGGAGGGTATGTGCTATGGTGAGTGCTGTGAAGTGTGTAAACCTGGCGATTCACAGACCTGTACCCCTGGGGATAAAAATATATTATATGTTTATAAAAAATAAAATTTAAAAAAAAAAACCCCCCCCCAAAAAAAAGAATATTTGATTTATTTTTTAAGACCATTAAGAGAAGCAAAAGACAAGCCACAGACTGGGGGAAAATGTAAAGTATATATCTGATAAAGGACTTATATGCAACATATATTTTTAAAAATCCAAACTCAGTAATAACTAAACAACACAACAGAAAAGTGGCAAAGATTTACAGATGACAAATAAGCACATGAAAAGATATGAAACATCACTATTTATTAGGGTCATATTGAAAGCACAATGAGATGCTATTACAAACCTACTAAAATGGCTAAAATAAAAAATACAGATTATATCAAAAGTAAGCTAAGATGCCAAAAAATTTTAACTCTCATACACTATCAGTAGAAATGTAAAATGACACATCCACTTTGGAAAGTGGTACGACCACTGTGGAAAACACTTAGGCAGTTAAAAAGTTAAACAATATACCTCCAGTATGATCCAGCCATTTCATTCCTAAGTATTTACACAGGAAGAAAAAGAAAAACACATGTCCAAACAAACACTTACATGTTCATAGCAGCTTTATTTGTAACAGTCAGTTCTGGAAACATTCTAAATGTCCATCAGGAGATGAACGGATAAACAAACTATAACATAATTACACAATAGAATGCTACCTAGCAATAAAAAGAATTAAGTAACTTAATATTACTTAATATAAGTATATATGCTATAGCATGGATGAATCTCAAAATAACTGTGCTGACTAAAATAAGCCAGACAAGAAAAGGAGTACATAGTGTTTAGTTCTATTTATCTAAAATTCTAGGAAATGCAAACTGATGTAGCACAAAGCATTTCCGTGGTTATCTGGGGATTGGAGCAGGAAGTGACCAGGAGAGATGGGAGTGAGGGACTTCAAAAGAGTATAAGGAAACTTTGGGGGAATGAGAAATATGTTCATATCTTGATTATGGTGTGGTTTTATGGATGTATACATGTCAAAACTTATCAAACTGTGTACTTTATGTACAAATGTGTACCATTTGTTGTATATCAATTATACACCAGTAAACTATTATAGATTAAACTAAATAATGGCTGGAGGCAGAAAATACCTAAGTCCCCATACCACGGGCCTTAAGTGGCTGAAATGTCTAAGGTCAGATGCTGTGGCAGCCATGGAAGTGTGATATTCAAATCTCCTTCACAAGAGCCTGCTGCCGGGAGCATAGCAGACTGACAGTGCCAGCCACTGCCTCTCAGGCTCCACCTCCATGTTAGCAGCAAGGCCACACTTGTCCAGCCTATCCCGCTAATGACTTAGTACTGACCCATTCTTGCCAATGTAGGAGCCTTCTGACTAGAAACCTTTGCTTGAGATTGTTCCTTTGGCCTAGCCAAAACTTTCTCAGAACCACACTTCTGTATTGACACATTCCAGATATATGGAAACAGAAAGCCCAGTAGGTTGAATGCTCCAATCACCAAGAATTCACAAGGTCATAATCTTCTCAGCTCTGGCAGGAATTAAAGGCACTAGAGAGGTTATTCTGCTCACTTACCACCCTGTGAGAACATATGGAGAATCCGTGAACGGATCTCCTTGGTCTTGGCTCCATAAACAACAGGGTTGACCACAGGTGGTAGTAGTAGATAGATATTAGCCATAATCACATGGAGCAGGGAAGTAGGGGCCCCCAATCTGTGTACCACTGATAGCCCAATGAGGGGCATGTAGAAGACCAGTACAGCACAGAGATGGGAGACACAGGTGTTGAAAGCCTTGAGTGCTGCCCCCCGAGAAGACAGCTCCAACACAGTCTTCAGGATGAGAATGTAGGAGAGACCGATGAAGAGGGAGTCAACACCCATCACTGAGAGGATAATGAAGAGTCCATACACTACATTGACTATGGTGTCAGTACAGGACAATTTCATGATATCTTGGTGCAAACAGAAGGAGTGTGTGACGGTATGTGTTTGACAGTATGACAACCGCTTCAGGAGGAAAGGCAGTGGGAAGAAGAAAACAAATCCTCTGGTCAGAGCAGCTAGTCCAATCTTGGCCACAGTAGGCCCTGTGAGCACAGAAGCATGCCACAGTGGATGGCAGATGGCCACAAAGCGGTCAAAAGCCATGGCCAGCAGGACAGCTGACTCCATGGCTGACAGAGCATGGATGAGGAACATCTGGGCCAGACAAATATTGAATCCTATTTCCTGGATGCCTGTTAGGAAGAGGCTGGCCATCTTGGGCATGGTGACAGAAGACAGGACTAGGTCAATGGTAGAAAGCATAGCCAGGAAAAGGTACATGGGCTCATGCAGGCACCTTTCCACATGGATGATGAGGACAATGGCCAGGTTGCCCAGGGTGGCCAAGGCATACATAAAACACAGTGGAAAAGCCAGCCAAAAGTGTATGTTAGGCCCCAAGCCAGGGATGCCCACCAGTAGGAAATATGCTGGGTGTACCAGAGTTCCATTTGGAGTGGCCATGACAGGAACCAAGCACTGGGGCTTCTGCATGCCAAGACCAGGGTCTATGAAGGGGAAAAGGAGAAACACCATTTAGTCGTGGTTCAGAGGAGACGAAGGACTTACCAGGAAAAGGCACTGGAGTTGTGATGACAGTAGCAAACAGAAGATTAAGTACTTGTAATTCTGAACTCCAGTCTCTCTGTGCTCTGTGTTCCCTTATACACATTTCCTAGAGGTCCCATTAATCTCAGTGTGTGACAATCCACTCAGAAAACATGCAACAGCTCTTCTTTCCAGAACTAAAGCTGTGGACAAGGGCACTGCTCTTAACCACTTCTCCAACATAGTGGACCTGCCCAGAATGTTCCACACTGACCCCAGCTCTGCTGGTGCATATAAGGTTAAAGTTCATTTGGGTCCCAAGCCTAAGGCTCAGTCTGTGATTTCCTTTAAGTTCCACTCTAATCTGATTTAGGGCAAAAAGCAGGGGTTCGGTCTGGTATGGGGTTTCAAGAGACAGGTTTGCGTTTAAGCCTGAAGAGCATTTCCCAAACTTACCTGATAGATTCATTTGAAGTAGTTATTGAAAACCCTATACCCAAGGTCTGATTCCAGGCCCAGAGAATCAGAATTTCCAGGGCAGGGGGGTCCAGGAGTCTGATTAAAAACAGTAATTCCCTTCTCCCCAGGTGATTTTTGTTTTTAATCAGGGAAATTTGTGAAAAGCAGTTGTGGTGTTCTGGGAGGTAGAGAGATGGAGGTGAAGAAAGATTATCATTTCTAGCCCCCAATGAAGAATAGAACAGAATTTTTCATCATATCTCTGGAAAGCTGCGTGAGAGTCAGTCCCAGACTGTGGCTTGGCTGCGGTGTGACATGGAAAGGACATACACCTGAGACATGGAGAGAAAAGCAGTCCATACTGAAGCTGGTACTTTGTGATATCCACAGGCATGCCCCCCTTGCACCACCACTCTCCCTGGCCATCACATAATCACCAGGCTCAACTTCCTTCGGCTCACATACACTCTGTTCTAGGCTTCTGTCCTGAGATCCAACCCTATAAGCTGCTGCCTCTTCATACTTCTTCTTGGATAGCCTATGGACCTCACACTCATCTTGCCCCAAAAGGAACCCCTTCCAAATGGTACCACCCACTCACCCAAGTCATCCAGGTCAGGGCAGTTTCTTCCCAACCTCATTATATCATCCACTCTGCTCTGATTATGAAAGGAGCTTCCTAACTCACCTCCCTGCCTCCAAACCCACATATTTCAATGCAACTTCTGCATCACTTCTATCTAAACAGCAAAACTAGACATGTCAGGCTCCTGTCTAGCAAGTTACTGTTGACTCCCATAGTGCTCAAAGTTGAAACCGTGTGGTCTGCATTCAAGGTCCTTCACAGGGTGGTTCATACTTAACTTTAAAGCCCAGCTTCTCAGTTTCCTTTTTCATTATGGATCACCCACCACCGCTACCACCACCACACATCTATTTGTCCCCCACATGTAATTTCCCTGGAAAAATTCATTTCCCTTGCCTTGTTTCTTAGGTGGAGGGTAGGAGGCTGGAACTGGGGAGTCCTTCTTGGCTCAAGGGATAGACATAGTTTGGAATGGACCTCACAATGTTTGAAGAAACTCCTCTTTGGCTGATTGCTGAACAAGGTCTGGGATACCAGGCACTGTAGTCTGGAAGTTCATTCGCAGACAGACTTCTCCAAGAAACCAAGAGAGCAGAGCAGAGGCGAGGTTTCCTCCTGCATTGCTTCCTGCCCAGATCTGAGGCCAAGAACCCCGGTCCAGCCTCCCCTCCCCTCCCTTCCCTTCCCCTCCCGGGGCTGAGCCTGGCTCACTCAACAACAGAGCCTCCGCCCAAAGCCACGGCAAGTTTATAGCTTCTTCCCGACCCTAGGGAGTGAGAGGGATGATGAAGAGTAAATTAGCCTGGGCTCCCTGGGACCTACACTCCACTCAGGCACTCCTACCCAAAGTGGCTGTGCTGTTACTGTTCTAAGGTTCGGAAGACTAGAGGAAGGCAAGTGCCATCGAGTGGAGAGAAGAGGGATGACCTGCTGGAAGAAAAGGAGCCACTGAATGGAGGTGTGGGTGTGTACTAGAAAGTGCACAGCCATGGATACTTCCACTCACACTCCCAAAGGCACTATCCAAGGGGATCCCGACTGTGCTCCTTGACAGCCTAATGCTTCTTGATACTGCCCCCTTGTGGTCATGCCAGAAAGCTGCAGCTTCATGGTCACCAGGCCATAGCTCTAAGGATGCCCAAGGACCTAACTCAGTGGTCTTGAATTTGAACTCCTTCCATTGCGGTATGCTGCCCCTTGGCTCTCCTTCCCTCTCAGGCCAACTCTTTCCTCCTTAAGCTATTAATCGTATCTCACCTGTCACACCAGAAATGGGAAGTATACACAGGCTGTTTAAATGTGGGGCTCTGGGGGCACCTGGGTGGCTCAGTGGGTTAAAGCCTCTGCCTTCGGCTCAGGTCATGATTCCACGGTCCTGGGATCGAACCCCACATAAGCCTCCCTGCTTAGTGGGGAGCCTGCTTCTCCCTCTCCTCTCTCACTGCTTATGTACGTGGGTGCACACTATCTCTCTCCGTCTCTCTCTCTCTCTAAAAAAATAAACAAAATCTTTAAAAAAGAATGTTCTCTTATTTCCAAGAGTATCCAAATTCCATTTGTAGATGAATAATGCCATTGTCTTTCATTAGAATATACTAATGGATGTGTCAATACAAAGCCACAAACACCCACCATGAAAGGAAAGCATGGTTTTACCTAAAGATAAAAATGATTTCTTGTGTTAACAACCTGTAATAAGGCAAGAGAAAGAAAGTTATGCTATGAGATTTAGAAAAAAAAATTAGTCATTATTTGTGAATTAATGATTTTATATGTATAAAAATCCAAAGAAATCCATTGATAAGTAACTTAAATTAATAAGAAAATATATAAAGTTTGCTGAATACTGATAATTTGAATTAATAAGTAAATATGTAAAGGTTGCTAAATACAAAGTCAATGTACAAAATTCTACCGCATTTCTTTATAAAATACACATGATTTTTTTAAAAACATTTACAATGGCATAGAAAAATCACATGTCTAAGAGTAAATCTAACAAAGGATACAGAGGACCTTCTATACAGAAAACCAGAAGGCATCTTTAAGAGAAACTGAGGAATAAAACAGAAGAAGAAACTATGCTCTTTTATAGGAAAATTCAAAAATGTGAAAAATTTAATTATCTCCCCAAAATTTTTCTACAGATTCAATGCAATCTTAATAATATCCTAACAGCTCATTTTGTAGAACTTGATAAGCTTAATTAAAAATTTATAGCAAAATATAAATGGTTGAAAATAGCCACAACACTCTTAAAGAATGGAACCAACATGAGGAAATGTGATATATCAAATATCAAGACATTATAAAGCTACGGCGGTTATGAAAGTGTGATATTGGTGCCCAGACAACTGGGCCAATGAACAGAAATAAAACCCCATTTAAGGCCAGTTGGGTTTTTTTGTTTGTGTTTTTGTTTTTTAAGATTTATTCTTTATTCAAGAGAGAGAGCAGGAAAGCACAAAAGCGGTGTCAGGGGGGATAGAGGGAGGGGGAGAATTTCAAGCCAGTTCTGCACTTAGTGCAGAGCCCAACATGAGGTTCAACTGCAGGATATGGAGATCATGACCTGAGCCTAAATCAAGAGTCAGACACTTAACTAACTGTGCCACCCAGGCACCCCAACAACCAGTTGTTATATGACAATGGTAGCACAACAGAGCAATGAGAAAAGAATATTTTTAATAAATGATACTGGAACTGCTGAATATCCATAGGGAAAAAATGAAATTTGTGCTCAAACTCATACCACTCACAAGTATGAATCCTTTATAAGTTATAACTAGAACTAAAAAAGCAAAGCAATTAAACTTTCCAAAGTAATACAAAAGAGTATTTCCATGGCCTCAGGTAAATATTGATTTTTTAATGCCAGCTAATTCATTCATGAATATTTATTTGTATGTGACAGGCACTCAAATAATTGATGAAAATATATCAGTGAACAGAACAAATAAATGCTTTTGTGGAGCTCACACATTACCCACTATGACTTAGCATTACTTTGTAGATATATCTGTTTAAATGTATGCCAAATAGTCTTCTTTTCTTAGAGCTCAGAAATTTTATCTGAAATTATCTAGGTATGGATCTTTCATTTTATGAGTGAGCAAGCATCTTAAGACTTCGGTCTTTATAGAAATTTTTTCCTAGCTATTTCCTTGTTTATTGATTTCATTCCATCTCCATCCCTGCCTTTCTTTCCTTCTGGAATGCGTATATTTGCCCTCCATGTCTCTTCTCTTTTCTTTCTCAAGTCTATATATTCACTGGAAAACAAAGAACTATGCATGATCAATTTGAGAGATTTTTTCCAAAACACTGTGCCAAAAGACAATGGCTATTCTGTTTCTATTCAGTTTCTTTCTCTCTCCCTCTCTCTCTCTCTTTAATTTACACCTTGAAGTTTCAGGGGTTTAAGAAAATGTTCCTATCTCTTCTCCTTCTTGGTTCAAAACAACCAAACATTCCCCACAAAATTTGCACACTATGCTTTATTGTTATGATTTCTAATAATTTGCTATTGTTTGCACATTGCTTTTCTTCTGTAGTCTTCTTGTTTTAAGACAATAGGATTTTATCACCTCTCATTAATGTTATGCTTTCATCTTTTAAGTTTCTCTCACTGCTTCCCTGTTTTTTACTGGGTCATTTAGTTTGATTTCTCATGTCTGTTCTCTTTTTTTCAAGCTTTGATATTTTTCCACATTCCTAGCTTTCTCTTATCTATTCCTGGTTATGAATGATGGTTTGACAAATCACTCTTCATAGCTGACATACATTCTCATAATGTTCTGCATTTTCAGTGAATGTAGATTGGGTTTCTTTCTAGGAGGGTTATGAGGAACAGCTCAGATGAGCTGGCCACCCATACTCTAAGACCCGGAGACATGAGGCAGAGTTCTTTCTACAGGTGCCAAATACTGGAGGCTCTGAAGTG